TTTTTTTTCTCTCACCCGCTCTCTGACTGTGTACAAGTGAAACAATTTTTTTTGCAAGTATACAACAAATAGGCATGGGCCGGTATGAGATTTTGACGGTATGATAACCTTAAGCAAAAGTATCACGGTATTGTCGTTACAGCTCTAAAGTGTGTTATTTTTAAATGACTGGGTAAAAAAAAAAAAAACTTTTTTCCGCTGAACACAATATATTTTGTTTTTGAGCAACATGCAGAATATTAGGAACAGTATAATTTGTTTATTTTTTCTTTGATTTGTTTGCTAAAAAGAAGTAAAATAAAGACTGACATCTTTATTTAACCTAAATCTGTAATTACAGTTATTTAATTTTAGTTATATAATTCATATAATGATATATATCATTTCACATCATTTAGTTATAGAATTTCATATACATAATTGAATTTAATAATAACTCAATTTGAAGCAAAAACAGAATGTTCTGTTCTGACTAGCTTTGTGAAATTATATTAAATGCTTGAACGAAGCAAACAGCAGAAGCTCTGAATGAGACGCAGATTCACTCTCTGACAGCAGGAGGCGCTCATAGAACACCAGATACGGCGTTTCCTTGGTTACTGCTGCAAACAAAGCAGCACTGCGCTGAAACACTGCTTTAATATGAACTATACAGAGACGAGATGAAAAGAAAATACCACATAAACTTTTCTGAAGACAGTCAGTTCCCCTCAGAAACACATTCATATAAACCCCCAAATCAACATTGAGGATTTTCTTCCAATAGTTTGTGCATCATTAACAGTGAGTGATCTGCCTGCTACAGTATTTTTCTCTGTGCGTCCGTCTTCAGCGTCTCTGGCCTGTGTTAACGGGCGTTTACAGACTTCATATTTTCACATACATGACATTTTGGAAAATTATTGCATTGCAACGCAGTTAGTGCAAGTCCAGAACAGAGACGAGCTGCAATAAGACAAAAAACGGCCGGTTGCCGATCGCGTGAGTTCCAGGGGAAGCTTCTTAAGTTCGGTCATCCTACACACACGTGACTGACCGCTCGCTTGCACCAACAGGAGGAGTGTCCTGTTACTCTCTACACTGCACTCAACCTGAGGGATTCCTACACTTCAGTCTTTGAGGAGGCATGAAAAACAGCGCATACCGCAGGAACGGTATAACGGAAAATATTAGCGGTTTTGAAACCATGACATTTTTTAAAAATCGCGGTATACCTTGAAACCGGTAATCGGCACATGCCTAAACATAAATGTGTTATCATAATGCACAGGAGTCACTGAAGTTACTGTGTGCTTCAGCAGCACTCTGAACTGCTGATGTGCCATTATCTCCAGGGTACAGGGTAATTATTTTGTGTACATTTCAAAAAGAAGAAATACCAAATACCAATTTTCCATTATGAAAAGATGCCCATGCAATCATTATGAAGCAAAAACTTGTCTGTCTTTTAAAAGAAAAAGACTCTTTGAATTGTATTCATGAGTTACTGGATATCTCATCTTTGTAAATTTTGCCCCCAGCTGGGTTCTCGTCTCCTATTCTCTCACTCTCATTCAACCCCTTCACTCTATCTGCTCTCTTTTTCCTGTCACTCTCTCTCTTTTTCATATATCCTGATGAAATTATGAAATATTAAACATACTTTTTTGGTCCATTTTCCTGCCTTCCTCCAGTTGCTTTGTGAGTTTCTTACTGCAAGGCAAAAAGAAGACTGGCATGTCATGACACAATTGCACTGAAAAATGCACACACACACACACACACATAAAGTGTGAATTCTAAGGGTCACAAACAGTATATTTGGATTTAAACATACTGAAGCAATGACTGGAACTTTCTCAGCCAGTGTAGACTGAGAGAAATGAAATATTCAGCAATCTAAATGTAAATGTAAGAGAAATTTATTGTTGGGTTTTCTGCACAATTACAGCATGCTAAATTTATTGGCTGTCCCTGCTGATAGTGAGACAGAAAGAGAGCTAACTTGAGAAAGGGCAAGAGACGAGCCGCAACGAAAGCATGACATGAATCAATCAACACTACAATTTTTTTGTTACTTTATATACATGAATACATACTATGTCCATAATGTACATTAGAGCCCATGAGTTCACATTTTCCATTACTTTAGAACACATTCTGCGGATCCATTACTATGAATCAATGGTTCTCAACTGGTGGGTTGCCTGGGACCACCTTTCACCTCCATTGCACCGTCATTGGTCGCCGTTGTGGTTCAGTGGGTTCTGAAGCAAAACCAGTTGAGAACCACTGCTCTAAATTACATTACAGCCAAGCTCTCAGAACTTCATTTCACACACAAGTTGGAACTTAAATGGATAGTTCGGCCAAAGATGAAAATGTTGCCCATAACGTTGTTCCTATGCCATTTCAAGCTTATATTATTTTCTTTCTTCTGTGGAAAGGTCATGTTAAGAAGCACAAGAGTCACATGTACTGCTGTTGAGATACTGTGGCAATAGCCTGGCAGTATAAATCACCATCCAGATGGGTTATATAGAAAAGAACAGCTCGGAAATTTTACTTAACATAATTTTTTAGTTATTCACAAGAAAGACTATCAGAAGGATTTGGAAATTAATGAACATCAGCATATGATGACAAAGTGTTTATTTTTAGCTAAACTACTTTACAAAAAATGTAATTAAATTAAAATAGAAACCTGTTATTTTTGCCATGAACTGCACAGGTTGAACAATAGGCAAAATTATGAATATTTTGGAATACTGACGCTTTGGTTTTATATTACAGTTCATTTTCTAAATGTCTCTTGAATGTGGTCAGCACAAATCATGTTGGGAAGTGTTCTTTCTTCTCTTTTAGTCGATAAGCCTATTCATTTTGATTAAGCACAATTGCACGGTTAGTTGCAATTTATTATTTGCATTTAGCATTGTTTTTCCTGCTGTCTGTGACCCTATCAAAACAAAACAAACTTAGGTAGGTACATGATTCTGTGCTTCCCTCCTATAAGCAGACTTTTAATGAGTCTCATTATACTGAATTCAGCTATGCAAACACCAAGAGAGACATACTGAACTACCATCCATCAGAAGCTGATAACAAAACACCTACAGACCCTCTAAAATCAGGTCACATGCACACATACTCACAGACACACAACCATTAAATACAGACACAAACACACACAAGACAGAAAAGAGAATCTGCAGTTGAAAGGCTGGGATTCCAGTGGTTGAATTTCATTCCGGCTGGCTTTATGTGCCCTGACTCCGACTGGGAATTTCATTACAGAAAACCACTCCTGTGAGAGACAACCCCAGGTTAGACATCCAATAAGGTGAGTGTGTGGGTGTGAGAATCTGTGCTTGTGTGTGTGTTTATTGCAGGCCCAGTGACACTCAGTAAAAATACATAAAGTGAAGGTCAGAACACAAGTAACCTAGACGTTTTCCTTTGCGTCATCTAACGCTCCCTTAAAGTTAATCTTTAATAACAATAGTAATTTAATAACGCTGTTAAATGCTATTTAGCAAATGCCAAAATTTATATTTATTTTTCAGACTGTACATACTGTTTTTAAGTCTTAATTTACTTGAACCATTTTAATGATCCATTTTAGCTTTTGTTGTCTCATTTTAAATTTATTTTGACAAAATAGTATAGATTTTTAATATCAGCAATTTAATGGTTATTGGCCATAACAAGAAAATAATTGCTTATTGTACTGACTATATATGTAATGTAAGTGCATCCCTATACAACAGAATCTCTTTCAATCAAAGCTGATGTGTTCTATACACTGAAAGTGAATGGTATTTTAATCAAGTCTGCAGGTGTGCCATATGCATGAGGGCTGAGTTAGCAGAATATAGTCCTCCTTGCACGTCTTACTACCTCTGAAATAAAGTATTGCCCACACACACTGAATCAATGGCTATGTTTGCATTATCCCCCTGCTCCTCTGACCTATTGCTCTGAAACATCCCGTATTACCCAGACGGAGGAAGCCTCTCATCCCTTGTCAATTCGCCACAGAGCAAAGTCCTGCATATGAACAATTTTGGACTTTATCCAGATGAGCATATTGCCTCATCCTGAAAATATATTATTTATCTGCTGTGGGGAATAATACCAGGTTATGATTCTTCATGATTAATGGCAGTTTTGGCTATTCCCTTAAACCTCATACAACACAAAAACCACTGCCTTGAAAAACAAGAAGATATAAGTGGGAAAAAATAAATTTTATTTTTCAGAATACTGCCTTTTTTTTATATATATATCTCAGTGGTAACATTAAATACTATGATTAGAAGAAAAATATTCTTCTTTTCATAAACCTCTTGTAAAAAAAAAAACCCAAAAAAACAAAAATCAATAAATAAAATAAAATAAGAAATAACACTCAACAGTTGAATCAGATTTGACATTCTATGGATGCACCAACATTAAAATTATGGCTGATACCTATATATATATATCTTTTTTTCATGATTTAGCTGATAAAGATAAACAGCTATATTAAAATTATATTTTGTCTAAATAAATTTTTAAAAAAAATAACAAGGCACTATGCAACCCTCTCAGCAAACCAATCACCTTTTGATGGGCCAAAAAAGTGATTTTTTTATTCTTCTATGTAAAGTGAGAGGTTTAATTTTTGTCTGTTTTCTAAGAACACTAAAAGTACTTGAATAAAGCGGTCAGCCACTTGACAGCTTAAAATCATGCAGAGAAATCACCTAAGATGGTGTGAAAGATAGGAACAAGTTCAAAGCATCTCATTGTTAAGCTGATTATGAATCACCAAACAGCCAGGGGTAATGCAGACTAAAGCGTGAATTTTCCATTCAGAGCACATGTATCTTTCAATTACTGCAGGAGTGAGTATGAATTTGTAACACTACATAATTACACTGCAGGTCATGCTCACTCTCACTGCATAAATATAACCTGGGAATGAACAATGGCAATTTCCATTCCACTGTTCATTATCAGGCTAATATAAAGTTGTTCTTAGTCTTACAGGACCAAATGTGCAGCTACAAAGAGATTGTGATTGGTGTGCACTGTAGAACCACTGCTGTTGTGTTTAAGAACTTCTACTTGGCTAATCAGGGTGCACATTGAATATGAAATTCATCACTAATGAATTACTGCCAAAGATTAATACAAGGTAATGTAAGACTTGAAGAACATCAGACACGTTGATCTTCTGAGATATGGACAATATAAACACAATGTTTTAACATAAAGACATCGGTTTCCACATCTCACTGAGAGAAGATGTAGGAAAACTTCTCACCTCATCCACTTCCTTCCCCTCACCCATCCTTCCCAGTCAACACGTGAGATCATGCGATGATCACAGTGACATCACACGATCCTCATACTGTGATCCTCACGGTGTGAGTAGTATATGAAATCATTGTGAGTTCACACGATCCTCATACTGTGATCCTCACGGTGTGAGTAGTATATGAAATCATTGTGAGTTCACATGATCCTCATACTGTGATCCTCACGTATGATCCTCACAATGAATATGAATTCATTGTGAGTTCAAATGATCCTCGTACTCTGATCCTCACAGTGTGAGTAGTATGTGAGCTCATTGTGATTTTCAAATTTTGAGCAGGTTGAGAGAAGGCAGTTCAAATATTAGTCACCGGGATAAGATCATCTACATCTTGGTTAAGATTACTAAAAGTTTCGCACCTACAGCACACATTACATCCATTGCTGCAGAAATGCAGATATGTTCTACATGTCTAAACTATATAGAGATAAACCTTATAAACTGCTTGATTTTGTGTAACAACTGAACATATAATCTGCATATACAATAAACTATAGTATTAATTTAGATCTCTCTACAGAAAGGTTTTGTAGGTTTTAATAAAATGTTATTTAATAACATTAGTAAGCTAAATAAGAATATTTCTAGTATGTGCCTCAGGCTTGCAAAGTATCGTCAACTCCTTTATGAGCATCAATGGTAATCCTCTGCAAACTTTCAACATTTCGACGGTCAGCAAACTTTGGCTGTGCGTCTTGCGTCATTAGCCTGGAACTAAAGTTCAATTCAGTTCGGTTACTTCCTATGAACAGGCACAAAGAACAATTTGTTCAGAAATCGAACATCAAATTTGAAGCAAAAGCAATAATTAAAGCATATATCGTTAAGGAGTGGCAACAAAAATGGGATAC